TCATTGGTTATGGAGTAATCTTGGACTATAGTGGGTTAATTTAGTTAATTGAATCTATTCTAATTTGTTAATTGGCTCATATGTCACCTACTTGAGGAAATTATACATTAATAGGCGCTTCTTGGCTGTTTGACAACTACCGAGACATTTACTATCTCTGGGCCTTCATTTCCTTACCTTAATTAAAATGGAGGGGGTGGACTTAACACGTGTAAGGAAGGGGTGTTATCTGAGTTGTACCTGGGAATGAAAATGGAAGGGGAGGGCTCCAGGGTGCCATTTATAAGGCAAGGTAGGAGAGGAGGAAGAGCATTAAAAGGAAATGAGTGTTTAGCGGCAAAATTGCCTGATAGACTGCCAGCTGAGCATAATTATTGCTGCATCCTCAAGGGGTAAGGAAGAGCCATGCAAAATGTCCCCAAGAGGCTTGGACTTCCTATTATGTTTATTAATCATCTTGATGAAAATGGAAAGTCTGCATTGATTAAAATCACTAATGACCCTAAACTGAATAGGAGAGTAAATTCCAGAAAGGATGGATTTATAAGGTAAGAACTGATATTAATCAGCCCATCTTCATGAAATGGGTGGCAGTAAATGAAATGGGATTTGCCATAGATAATAGCAGTGAGGTACACCTGGGGGGAACTATAATGAGTCCAGATCCAAACTAGGAAGCTGTTATTTAGGAAATAATAATGGTGAGAGAGAGAGTTCTGAAGGGGAGATGAATAATAAATTTAAAACAAGCTTAAAATCCATTCTCATGATGAATCATAATTTCATTCTCAGCACTTTTGTGGCCCAGCTGGCAGCAACTGGAGAGTGTGGCACTTGCATTTTACAGGTGAGGAAACTGAGGCCCAGAGATGCTAAGTGCGCCAGACTAGAGCTGGCTGGCACAAGCCTGGCGTGCTAGTCACTATTCTGTCCCCTGCAGTAGTGGCAGAAGATCATCACTCCCTAGGATGACCTCAACTTAGTCTCAGCCTCCTTTTCTGCACTGTATTATAAGCAGTTTCTGATCGCTGGGCTCAGAAAATATCATTTGCCATCTCCAACTTGGGTCATAGAGTTACATGTTAGCAGGTTTGTGGCTAAAACCTAGATCTCCTGATGTGTCGTGTTTCCTTTTCAACCCATGAGTTCTAACACTATAATCAACACTGACTGTCTAACCCAATATTGCATGTCTCTATCTGTTTTCATGAGAAACCCCTTTGAAGATATCAATATGTAGTACAACAAGCATTGTTAATTTCCTACCACTTTGTTTGTAACTCTGTATTGTCTTTACTGTTCTTTTGCTATTTTGTAAAAGGTTGTCTGTCAATGTTTTCCTTTTATTTTTAAAATAAAAAAAATAAAATAAAATAAAATTCAAGCAATGAGAAAGCATAACTGGCTTCTTAGAAACGATTCTGACCTCAATGTCCAGCATGTTGCTTTCAGGCCCCTTGAGTGACATTTAAAAAAAATCTCTGAAACTATGTGTATAGTAGTGTTTCAAAGATACACAGAAATATCAGTGCTGCCTAATGAGTTTTATGGACTTGAGAAATAATATAAAACATTCTTAAAAAGGAACCTACCAAATGCAAACAATGAAAAGTAGGTTTCTGCTATAGGCATTTGACATAATTAATAATCTTGTTAAAAATTCCCTGAGAATGTTTCGTCTATTATTTTCCCTTTTGCAACACCAAGTGAATTTTGTCTGTGCAAATGCAGCAGTTTTAAGGAAGTTCCTCCGTGTGCATGGTCAGTTTAGGTGGGTTAGGGTACCATCCTGGGAAGGAGATGAAGGTGGGGAAAATCAGCTTCTGCAGAATTGTGCAGCAGGTGAATTTGGGTCATTCTCGGTTTTTTTGTTTGTTTGTTTGTTTGGTTGGTTGGTTTTTTTTGGTTCCTTCCAGAAGGTTTGTGGGGCTCCTCTCAGACCTCTACATGATAGCAGCAACACCCCATAATGCTGTGTTGATAGTGTATTGCACAACACGAGGGGGTGCCATTCTCTCATGGGAAATCAGCAGTGGTCTCCCTGAAGACTTCATTTCTCAGGCCTCTCATCTTTCCTAATCTTTGATGGAAATCTATCCGACAATGTGCAAGATCTGACACATCTCCAGTGGGTTAATGGCTCACTGACTAAGAAGTCCTTGAAGACCTACCCAAAGCCAAAGTGAATGAATTACATCACGGACGATTTTAATATGTGCCAAAAAGAAATCTTCACTGCATGCTATGGTTTGTGTCTAGATGTCTCCCCAAAGCCTCATGCAGTGATGGGTGGAGCTTTTCACATGTTGAATCTAGTGTGTGTGATGCTGGGATTAAATTCGTGATGCTGGGATCAAGGATGTGTGGTTACTAAATTAGTCTACAGATTGGGCTGGCGTAGTTCTGAGAGTGGATGATGATAAGGCCCACCCGAGGTGTGAGTGCTACTCATACTAAGGGTAGAATATACGGGAGAGAAAGAGGGTTGCTTTCTGTCGCTTGCTGCTTCTTTGCTACTTTGCTGCTTTGCTGCCTTCTGAGCTGTTTCTCCTCTGCCATGCCCCTCTGCCATCCCACCCTGCCTTGGAGCCAGCCAACTATGGGCTGAAACCTCTACAAACTGTTAGCTACAATAAACCTTTCCTCCTTTAACTTTGAATATTGAGTATTTTATCTCAGCAATGAGAAAGTGTAACTAAGATGCTGTATGCTTCAAATGGTCATGCAAAATCCCATAAATTAAAGAGAGTTGTGTCCAGCTGTTAGCACAAGGTTAGCTATCAGGATCTTTTGCATAAGCCTTTAATTGTTTCAGCACCTTGCAACTTCCAGGATCCCATCACACCATGCACAGTGCCAAGAAATTAGATGCCAGTGGCAGATACCCTGGAGCTGAGCCCTGTCTCTGGCACTTGCTGGTCATGCAGTTAAGCAAACTAAATTTTCCAAACCAATTTCCTCATCTGCAAAACAGGTTTGTTGAGAGAATTTACTCGATAATGCATAAGAACGATCACAATTCTTGGAAATGACTCCCCACACCTGTGATCTGCCATCTCTGTTCTATTACCTCATAACATATGCTGGAGTGTCCTCCTTTATCCCGCAAATGGAAGCCAGCAGAGAGAAACGATTTGTCTAAGAATACACCTTCAATATGTGCCCAGACTGGGTGCTAAGCCCAGGCTTTTTATGTAAGACTTTAGTGTTCTTTCCCCTTCCCTGTTCTTGTGGACTTAGTGCATCATTTGACTTCAAATGTCTCCACGTCCGGGCTGCATGGCTATGGCGTATACACAAAAACATTACTTGTTTCTGTAACTGTCCCCTCTCATAAAATACCTGTGTCCTCTTCCCCAAGACACAGAGATAATGGCAAACACAGCGTGTGAAAGTTTTTATCTTCAAGGCGCAAGGCCACCTCCCAATGACCTGATACATGGCCGATGTCAGGTTGCCATCTGATACAAGTTGAAACTAACAGGATGCCCCAAATGGAGCCACCATCCAATAGCCATTATCCTTCACGGATGCACTAAAAGATAAGGTGTTTATTTTACTTGCCAAGCAAGCTACTTAGTTGGATCATAAGCAAAACCTGCTGCAAAACCAACCTAGGAGCCCAGGAGATGTCCAACCCTGTAGGTCTTCTGTCAGGAATGAGTGTAGGTATTGTGGGCCTTGCAGATGATTCCATTTTGAAATCTTCTTTAAGAAAAGAAACAAAAGTCTGAATTCAGAATTAGATACAGGAAAATTCTAGGGATAAAGAGCAGATTAATGATTGCCAGAGGTCAAGGGGAGAGGGGATAGAGAGATGTGTGTTGTGAAAGGGCAACGTGAGCAGTCCTTACGGTGATGAACTCCTTTGCACCCTAGCTGAGGAGACTGCTCCATGAAGGTAAGTGTGTGCTGAGATTCTCCCAAACCACCTCACTGGAAAACTCAACACACGGAGATGAGCACATATAACATTGATAGACTCTGAGTAAGATTCATGGATTGTCAGTGCCAGTTTTCTACTTATTATATTGTACTATAGTTTTGAAAGATGCTACCCTTGGGCAAAACTGAGTGAAAGGAAGATGGGATCTCTGTTTTCTTACAACAGCTTTTAAATATACAATGATCTTAAATTGTTTAATCTGAAAACTTGGATAGCTAAGATTTTCCATGATGTAATTCATTCACTCGGCCTTTAAGAAATTCTCAGGCAAGCCAGGCAGAGTGGCACAGGCCTGTAATCCCAGGACTCAGGAGACTGAGGCAGGAGGATTGCTGTGAGTTTGAGGCCAGCCTGGGCTACATAGTGAGTCCAAGGCCAGCTTGAACTACGTAAGAAGACATTGTCTCAACAAAAAAAGGAAAAAAAGAAAAAAAAGAAATTCTTAGGCTGTGACCCATTAGCCCATGGGGATGTGTCAGATCTGATGCATATCAGGTCAATGTTCCCCAAAGGCTTGGAAAGATAGAGGAAAGGCCTGGAAACAGAGAAAACGAGGAGGGAAAATTAAAAACAAAGACTAGGTACACAGCCTGAGAAGTTCTTGTGCTCACAGGAAACTTGGATGTTTAAACTTGGTTGGTTGGGGCTTTCTGTGGATCTAGTATATACACAAGATAGCTAAGATAATTGTACTACTACTAATTTCTACTGGTTTATTGAAAGGAACAGTTAATGTTTAATTTTTTAAATCAATTTTGCATATATCTGGTAATCTGAACAACTACTTTGAAGTTAACAATATGCAGTATAGCAACCATTGTTGATTTCTTATTATCTTGTTCTGAAATTCTGGATCATTTTTAATGTGGTTTTTCTTTTTTACTTTTATTCTCTTTAAAATTAAGAAAAAAAGCTTTGTTGGCTTCTTGGCATGTCCATCTGTGGTTGAAAGGTAGTAGACCAATAGAAGATGAGGCAAGCTGACATCCAAAACCATTTCAAGACCCACGAACAGATGGTATATTTCTGGGATTATCTGTTTTCAGAAACTCACCCACGGAAATAGGCTGACTCCACTTGCTCCACAGCCCCATGGCTCTACACTGAGGGCTCACGGTTGCTCTCACTTGAATGGAGTACTGAGAAACACCATCAGTTGTGGAGACAAATGCATGGGTTGTTGTCTTTTCCACCTAAAAATTAGCATTATAAGACTCTAGAAATACACTTTATGCCAATTATCAGCTTGAGAGGTCATCTATAGGTAATATAACTTACTGTTTATAGCAAGTGATTTAAAATTCAATGGGATACATGATAATTAGGTTACTACAGACCACTCTCAGTGATGTGTTGGCAGTCACCCTTCAGAGAATGCTATCTTATAATCAAGATATGGAAAGCAGTCAATTGTAGAGCCTAGATGAGGTCCTCTGGGCCCAGTTGGTGTTTCAGAATCAAAGACTGGAGTAACCTTTACAAAAACACACGATCCCCTTTGCCTTGTTCCTTCATATTCCGAAGTCCCATTCCTAAATGGTATTATGGTTTCCAGCATATTCAGCTGGTGTCAGGAAACCATGGCCGGCTGCCTGATCTTGTATAGCTGATAAACTTAGAATGGCTTATATATTTGTAACGGCTTGCAAAACATCCAAAAGACTATTTCGTGTGACATGGAAATTACATATAATTGACATTTCAGTGTCCTTGAATCAAGCTTTACTGGAACACAGCCTCGTGTGTTTGTGTATTGTCCATAGCTGCTCTTAGTAATTGTGACAGACACTGTATGATCTGCAAAGCATAACACACTGTACTTACCGTGAGGCTCACAGACCTCTGATATAGGAATATCTTAAAACAACTGTAGCTGAGGCACTGGGGAAAGAAGGATGAGGGACTCATAGAAAGTAGAAAGAACAGTGATCTTGAACTGAAGGTGGGCAGTTAACTGCACGGCAAGGTCTTCAACCTTGCTGAGCCTCCATTGCCTCCTCCATGAAACTGGAATAAGAATACTCAAGACAAGCTGTGTGTGGTAGCCTATAATCCCACCACCCTGGGAGGCTGAGGCAGTGGGATCACAAGCTTCAGCCCAGCTTGTCTCAAAAAATAAATTCGGGAGAGATGAAGCTAAGTGTAATGGCCTTGGGTTTGATCACCAGTACCAAAGCAAACAAATCCACAACCAAAGGCATGGATGACTGAGCTAATTGGAATTATTGTTGTCAAGCCCAAAGCTAAGAATATATTAGCTTCAACCACATCAACATTGCCAATATTCAACCATTTTTTGACCTGTATAAGGAGTAATTTTGGCTGATTTAATATATACTCAGTGAATGACAATTTGCCACAGGCACTTTAAATTAGCACTACATCGTCCCGTGTTAAAATGACATTGTGTTTTCAAAATGAGTCTTTCTAGTTCTCATTCCTTGTCAGTGTCACAATCATCCGGCAAACCTGCCATCCCCAAACCGGAGATTCGTCCATGACAACATCTTATATCCCCTGGATGTGTTTCTCCCCTCCTCACTCCTGCCCCATGGCCACTGCCTATCTTAGCTTTTGTAATCTTTTGCTTAGACTTTGGGCCATAGCTGTTAACATATAGCTTCACATCTGTGTGGCTTCTTGCCGCATATATCCAGTTTTCACACTGCTACCTAAATGATTATTCCCTGCAAATGTTGTCATGTTTCTGTCATGCAAACCCTTCATTGCTTCGCATTGTGTATGGCCATGGTAGTTGTTTTTTTAAAAAAAAATTCCTTTTAAAAAATGTCCTACAGAGCCACTCTGAGAGCAGTTACAGGAAAGAGAGTTATAATTCCTGTATTGGTTTTATGTATAGAGAAACAGAATCGATGCCACTTGGCTTGAAGAACCCCGCTCTCTCAAACCTTTGAGTTACTCCCTTGCCTTACACCCCTGCTAGCAAAGTGTGGTGGGTAGACTTGTGTGTAGGGCAGGAAATGTTTACTGGTCTGCAATAAGGTACAAAAAAGATACTGAGACTATCATTTAGAAACTTGCAGAGTCTTTTCACATTGCGATGATATCCAAGCATATGATCCATCAGCTTCTATTCTACATGTCGTTTATCATGTTTAATGTTTCTAGCAAATTGTTTTTTATTGAATTTTACAAAAACACAAATCTATGATAGATTGGAAATTTACAAAAGAAAACCCACCCTCCCCTGTAGAGATTTCAGAAAGCACAGGCTAAGAAAATACTTTTCTTCTTTTCTTACCGGGGAAAGTTTTTGTTTCTCATTCCTGCTTCCATTCACTTCCTCTCTGTGCAGTCCCCAGAAGGTTGTTTTTCTGGCTCCCTGCTCTGTCCTTGCATTAGCCTGAGTGTCTACGAAACCAAGCTCCTCTACTGCACATGCAAGGTCTTATTTACCTATGTATCTCCCACCAAGATGCCAATTTGTAAATATTTGTTGAATAGAATTGAATTTGCTTTGTCTCTTATCAGTAAGATGAGTTTGATTCCTGACTTTTATTTGTATTCTTGTTTGGTCTTGTTTTCTCTGGCTTTGTGATCATGGGCAAGTTATTTTCTCTCTTTTGCCTCACTTTTTTCTGAAATAGGAGATAATCACATAATAGAACTATTGTTGTGATGGAGTAAACAGACATAATGCAGTTCACCACATAAAATACACAGAACACTTTTTAACTTGCAAAATTTAAACTGTGGTTAGTGGTAGAGCTTTACAATGTTAGAGGTAGGGCTGACCATGCATGAGGCCCTGAGTTCAATTCCTAACACCTAAATACCTAGCAGGACTAGGTGGGGAACAGGGGTGAAACCTCCTCCATTAAGCAGTTCTGCCCCAACACCATACTCTGCCATCATCATTCTGCTATTTCTGAGCCTGACTATGCTAGGTACCTCATCCACATGGAATCATATAGTATTTGTCTTTTTGTGACTGAGTTATTTCACTTATCATGATGTCCTCATGTGTCATTAATGATGTAGAATGCATTAGAATTGCCTTCCTTTAAAGGCTGAAATATATATATATATATATATATATATATATATATATATATATATCACATTTTATTTATCTGTTCAATAATAGACATTTCTGTTGCTCCCAACTTTGAGCTACTGTGAATAATGTTGCCATGAGTGTGAGTGTCCATGCAGTGCTTTGAGACCTTGTTTTGAATTGTTATATATGAAGTGGAATTATTGGCTTATCTCATACTTATATTTTTTTGCTTTTTTCTTTCTTTCTTTTTTCTTTATGAGAACTCACCTCACTGTTTTCCAGAGCAGCTGTACCATTTTACCTTCTAACCCAAAGTAATACCAAAAAATTTTGATCTGATCCTTTGTATTATTTTCAACCAAAAGTACCTCTATTCAAAACAAAATGTCTGTAAGATCTAATTTATTTCTGTAATACCTGAGGTAGCTGTAAGTTAATTTGGACATTGTTGGTACAAAATTATAACCAGAGCAATTGCTAGACATAATTTTTCAATGCTTCTAAAATTAATATCTATCATCAAATACTGGAATGATCTGAAGACTTACCTGAAAATAGCCCTTCGTGTTGTAAATTTTCACTTCATACTCAAAGCAGTGGACTGGAAAGGCAGAAACTGGTTTTTCCCAATGGATGGAGAGACGAGATCCTTCCATCTCTGCTGTGACATTTATTGGAGGATTTGGTTGATCTAAGTTAGAGAATGAGAGGTCATTGACATTTCTTTAGAACCAGTGGTCAGGGCTGATAATTACAATCCACTCACACTTCTTCAGCATTTCTCTAAGATATAGTCCTTCCAAGGTTTGCCATCAAGTCTTAATCAACTGATCTCCAAGCCATAGGAAGTCAGTGGCTTACCACAAGAGTCCTGCATTGTAGTGCTAAAGAGAGACCCCTCTTATAGACTAAAAGATTTCTGCTGTAGATGGAATTGCTTCCCTTCTCAGCTTATTGCAAGATTCACCCCAACATCACTTTAACTTTCTGAGTTAGACCAAACTCAAGATAAACCTGTACATGCAAGGAGCATGCTCGAGAGCAACCACACAAGCCCTGCTACCCTGGCTTCCCCTTTTTGGATTTCAGTGTTTTATTTTTGTTTTGTTTTGTTTTGTGTTTGGAGGATAGAATAGGAAGCTTTAGTTTTCTTGTGCATAAAAAATAGACTAAAATAAGTGTTTTTACTTTTTATACAGTTCTTTTCCCTGAGATTTGATTGTCTCATGACTATGTAAGATGAGTAAAAATTATTTCTAGATGATTGTGCTTTCTCTTACATTATGTGATTTAGAGCTCACAGTTAATGAGTCACAGGACCAAGCTAATAACGGGGTCTACTGGCTTCAGAGCCAGCCATTGCCTAAGAATAAATTTCTTACCAAAGATGTACTTTTTTTTTAGTAATCTGAAGACCTCAAAAAAATGATAAAATCAATTAGTCTATACTAGGTATATCCATTTTTGAATTATTGGTTTCCAGGTCTCTCTCAGCATGTTCTACTGTCTATTTTCATGAAAGTAACATTTTCAGGTCATCTACAAAATACACTCTTGAAGAGAATTGAATAACCTCTTTCATAAGAGCTATGATTATTTAACAAAAGTTATACTCCATTTAATATCAATATGTCACAAGCCAAATTATTTCTCTTAAATAATTGTTTAGTGTATTTATTGAATTTTTCATGTGTTTGTGTGTGTGTGTTTTTTGTTTTGTTTTGTTTTTTGAGACAAGGTCTCGCTCTATAGTCCAGCACTTGAACTCACTCAGTAGCCCAGGCTGGCCTGTAACTCACGGTGATCCTCCTGCCTCAGCCTCCTAAGTGCTGGAATTACAAGTGTGGGCAACCACATCCAGCCTATATCTATTGAACTTTTATGCCAGGCACCATTTTAAGAACTTTAAAAACACTTAATGCTCACAAAACCTCATAGGAACTATTCACTTATCCCTGTTTTTTCTATAAGACCAAGCACCGAAAAATAGTGAGCTTGTCCAAAGGCACTCAGCTGGTCAGCAGAAAAGCCAGGACCTAAGCACAGGCAGTCTGGCTCCACCTCCCAACACTGAAGTCTTGGGTGTTGGTGTACAAGACTGCAATATGGCAGGCCCCTGGTAAACTTTATTGATAAAACTCTAGGATGAGGGGAGGCATCTTCTGTTTTGAGAACTGAGTGTATGAAACCTTAAATAATATGTTCAGTGCTGAGATCTAGATGCCAAGGGGTCACTTGCATCTTGAGAACATCCAGAGTGGGCCCAGAATGGTGAGGGATGGTGAGAGTAGTGCCTGGGGAATGCTCTGGGTTGGGCAGTTAGCTCGGAGAAGCAAGGCCTTAGTATGGAAACCTTGGTCACCTCTGAACCACCGAGGGACCACCCTTCGGGGAAAGAGCCCTACCACAGGACCCATGGCAGAAATTTCACAAAACCAGTCAGAGCTGATAAGAGATGGAATGGGCTTTCAGAAGCAGTGAGCTCACTTTTCCTGGTACAGTCTCTCTGAACTGGGGGAGATTTTCTCCTCTAAGGGAAATTTGTCAATGATTGAGTGGTATTTTGGTCACCAGTGAGGGTTGATAGGGGTTAAACCTCAGTAGTATCTCATAGTAGTGACAGGAATGAAGCAAAACGTCCTGTAATATCCAGAATGACATGAGTTATCCTATGACATATCCTATGACATGAGTTATCTGGCCACAAATGCCAGTAGTTCTAAAGCTGAGAAGCCCTGCTGCTATGGTTTTTCAGCATGGGCCGGGTGGTTACTGAGCATCAGAATAACAGTCATACCCTCTCCAGTGCTGAGGTTCTGTGACTCAGTTATTTTGGCTTTGTATAAGTCTGTCTTACCAATGGCTTGTGTATCAAACAGCTGATCAGAGGGCTTGATTGCAGCGTGTTTGCTTGAACCATTAACGTGCACTGCAAGCCTATCACGTGCTTTGCTATGGATAAAAGTCCTTGGGAACCAGCATGCAGTATTTCTGTTCAGCGTATCTTTGCTGTATTCTTGACATTCTTCAGTCCAAGGGCCATACCTAAATTGTAGCGTTCATGAGTTTTATAAGGCTAGAGGAAGCAACCCATTTGCATAAATAAAAATAGGTACTAACCTATAATAGAGGAAATACTGTGTGTCCTCAGGGGCATCCTTGCCAGCAAGCCAGGTGCAATGAAGAGAAACTTGGTATGACTTTAAGTTTGTGTCATCATCTGCTGCAGTGTTTGTGGTGCAAGTTAAATTCACAATTGAAGTTCCAGGAGACCCTAGGTGGTTGAAAATACAAATAAAACATTGTTTTGATGGCTTCTGGGTTTTGTACTTCAAGACTGAAGTGATTGTGAATATCTTATACGACACCAAAAAGCAGCTACAATCACCTATTTATAGAAATCTACTTGCAAAGGGCCAACTGGAGGTTTGAAAGTAGAATTACAAAACCCCTCGTTCTGAGATCACAGAGATTTCCAGCCACTGTACTTTGGCTGGGGTTTTGGGGGTTGTGTTCCTGAGTAACATATATAAAAAGGACAAGAACAGTAGCCTACACTTTCATTTAGAAATTAAGTGTCCAGCAACCTCAGCATTCTAATACCACATTTGTCAATAATGTGAAACCTTGGCCCTATTAGTTCTGGGTCTTGTCCCCACCCCCAGTGTAAATTAGATTTTGGCAAAGAAGTTCTCAAGTGCCTCTTTCCATCCCACAATTTGTGATTCACTGATTTATATCCAAATGTTTCATGAATTACATATGATGTTTAGGAGGAAAGGAGTTATGGTAATGCTGTGAAGTAACACCAGGGCTTTGGAGACTCACAGCGCATTAGCATGTTGAAACCCCTCGAATATACAGTAGCAGGACTATAGGTAAACATTGAGATTTTGAATGAAACTCCTTCATGTTTGTTTCATCTACGATTTCCCAAAATTATGTAAGTGGAAAAAATTGTTTTCAATTCAGTTCCTCTTGCAGCACATTAACTGCTGCTCTTCAGAACACAGTAGTAGCTCCTTGGTGTGATTGCTCAGGGAAGGCAAAAAATATTCTGAGCCTAAGATCAAGGCATCACCAAAGTAGAACCCTTGAAAGCTGGAAGGACACTTTTTAGTCTAGTTGAAGCCATCTGGGAATTCTTAAAAATCACTTAGCCTTTTCAAGGGGCACAGGGAGAAAGTAAAGCAAAAGAGCCTCCTACTATGTAGGCCGAAGACTGACTGAAGTCAATTTTCTTAGTAATACATATATATTTATATTATATATATATATCTTGTTTGTTTATATATACAGTCATTCCTCCACATCCTCAGGAGTTAGTTCAGAGTGCCTCCCCCATGAACCAAAGATGCTCAAATCTCTCAGATGAAATAATATGGTAGTGCATGTAATCTATGTTCTTCCTTCCATATACTTTAAACCTGTTGTATAGTATTTATAATACCTACAACAATGTAAATGCCATGTGAGCAAGGATTATATTAAGGAATAATGACAGCCAGTCTCTTCACGCTCAGAGCAGAAGCAGTGATTTGTTTTGGAAATTTTTAATCTACAGTAATTTGAATATATAGATATGGAATTTGTGGTGTGCAGGGCCACCTGTATGTGTGCAGTGTGTGTCCCCACACACTAAATAATCAGATGATTTATGCCCAAGTTTACTTTAAAGTTTATAAATGAGCTTGTCGCACAGTTTTCATCCAAGGAAATTATTTGGTATGAGTTTCCCTTAGCTTCAAGACAGAAATAATGACTTTTTCATTAGTGTCAACCTGTACTGAGGTACTGAAAAAATAAACAGAAATGCATCAATTCAATACAAAAAAGTGCATTATGTTAGCTGGGCACAGTGGTGCACACCTGTAATCCCACCACCTTGGAGGCTGAGGCTGGAGGAGTCCATGAGTTTGAGGGCAACCTGGGCTACATGGTGAGTTCAAGGCCAGCCTGCACTACAAAGTGAGACTGTCTCAAAAAACCAAAAAAAAATAAAATGCATTATGTATAGGTAATCCAGTTCTCCACTGCAGAAAGGTAGGATAATGATTTAATATAAGGCACATAATGATAGATATTTACGACCTTTCACATACCATAAACCAGCCTGATTAGTTGGGATCAAGCCCATTGTAAATTTCCAGGACTGTGGTCAAAATGATACGTTATAACAATTAAATAAGATGTTATTGTTTGCAGTCACAGCACAATTCAGGAGTTGCTGTGGTTTGAAAAAGTGGAGGCTACCATTAGCATACCTCACAGATCTCGAGAAAACATGCCTTAAATTCATCTGGA